CCTGATTCTCCACATGATTATACCAGTTTTGCACCAGTGCTACCCCACTGAAATCAGTGGAGGTACAGTCAGGTGAAACTGATGTGACCAAATGGAGAATCAGACCCATTGCCTCTTTTGAGATGCTAACAGGGTCTTTAGACTGAGCAGAAATTGCCAGCATAAAGTATCCTGGGCCAAATTCATAAGTCTTCACTCAGCCCAGTACTCAAAATTCTTCTCTCCTGTTTATCTGAAGGCTTGATCAAGTATTTCAGGATTTGGTGTAGTGTGTGTGTGGGTTGTGCACCGGGGCAAAGATTCTCTGAAGAAATCGCAGCAACTGACTTGCGGTTTAGTTGCAGTCAGAATGGATCCAGAAGTGGATCTCTTGTTTGGACGGGTCCAGGCTGAGATTAATGGTGGGATGGGAATTGTTGAAATCATGGTGGAATTCCTCAAGGGCTTCTTCTCCATGGGTCCAGATGATGAAGATGTCATCAATGTAGCGCAAGTAGAGTAGGGACGTTAGGGGATGAGAGCTGAGGAAGCTTTGTTCTAAATCAGCCATAAAAATGTTGGCATATTGTGGGGCCATGCGGGTACCCATAGCAGTGCCGCTGATTTGAAGGTATACATTGTCCCCAAATGTGAAATAGTTATGGGTGAGGACAAAGTCACATAGTTCAGCCACCAGGTTTGCCGTGATATTATCGGGGATACTGTTCCTGACGGCTTGTAGTCCATCTTTGTGTGGAATGTTGGTATAGAGGGCTTCTGCATCCATAGTGGCCAGGATGGTGTTTTCAGGAAGACCGCCGATGGATTGTAGTTTCCTCAGGAAGTCAGTGGTGTCTCGAAGATAGCTGGGAGTGCTGGTAGCGTAAGGCCTGAGGAGGGAGTCTACACAGCCAGACAATCCTGCTGTCAGGGTGCCAATGCCTGAGATGATGGGGCATCCAGGATTTCCAGGTTTATGGATCTTGGGTAGCAGATAGAATACCCCTGCTGGGGTTCCAGGGGTGTGTCTGTGAGGATTTGTTCTTGTGCTTTTTCAGGGAGTTTCTTGAGCAAATGGTGAAGTTTCTTTTGATAACCCTCAGTGGGATCAGAGAGTAATGGCTTGTAGAAAGTGGTGTTGGAGAGCTGCCTAGCAGCCTCTTGTTCATATTCCAACCTATTCATGATGACAACAGCACCTCCTTTGTCAACCTTTTTGATTATGATGTCAGAGTTGTTTCTGAGGCTGTGGATGGCATTGTGTTCTGCACGGCTGAGGTTATGGGGCAAGTGATGCTGCTTTTCCACAATTTCAGCCCGTGCATGTCGGCGGAAGCAATCTATGTAGAAGTCCAGTCTGTTGTTTCATCCTTCAGGAGGAGTCCACCCAGAATCCTTCTTTTTGTAGTCTTGGTAAGAAGGTCTCTGTGGGTTAGTATGTTGTTCAGAGGTGTGTTGGAAATATTCCTTGAGTCAGAGATGTCGAAAACAGGATTCTAGGTCACCACAGAACTGTATCATGTTCGTGCGGGTGGAGGGGCAGAAGGAGAGGCCCGAGATAGCCCAGCAGAAGAATCTGTCCTAAGAGTATATTTGGATAGATTAACAATATTGCTGGGTGGGTTAAGGGAACCACTGTTGTGGCCCCTTGTGGCATGTAGTAGTTTAGATAGTTTAGTGTCCTTTTTCTTTTGTAGAGAAGTAATCTGCTATCTTTGAGACACCACTGACTTCCTGAGGTAACTACAATCCATCGGTGATCTTCCTGAAAACACCGTCCTAGCCACTATGGATGTAGAAGCCCTCTACACCAACATTCCACACAAAGTTGGACTACAAGCCGTCAGGAACAGTATCCCCGATAATGTCACGGCAAACCTGGTGGCTGAACTTTGTGACTTTGTCCTCACCCATAACTATATCACATTTGAGGACAATGTGTACCTTCAAATCAGCGGCACTGCTATGGGTACCCGCATGGCCCCACAATATGCCAACATTTTTATGGCTGACTTAGAACAACGCTTCCTCAGCTCTCATCCTCTAATGCCCCTACTCTACTTGCGCTACATTGATGACATCTTCATCATCTGGACCCATGGAGAAGAAGCCCTTGAGGAATTCCACCATGATTTCAACAATTCCCATCCCACCATCAACCTCAGCCTGGACCAGTCCACACAAGAGATCCACTTTCTGGACACTAAGGTGCTAATAAGCGATGGTCACATAAACACCACCCTATACTGGAAACCTACTGACCGCTATTCCTACCTACATGCCTCCAACTTTCATCCAGACCACAGCACATGATCCATTGTCTACAGCCAAGCTCTACGATACAACCGTATTTGCTCCAACCCCTCAGACAGAGACAAACACCTACAAGATCTCTATCAAGCATTCTTACAACTACAATACCCATCTGCTGAAGTGAAGAAACAGATTGACAGAGCCAGAAGAGTACCCAGAAGTTACCTACTACAGGACAGGCCCAACAAAGAAAACAACCGAACGCCACTAGCCATCACCTTCAGCCCCCAACTAAAACCTCTCCAGCGCATCATCAAGGATCTACAACCTATCCTGAAGGATGACCCGTCACTCTCACAGATCTTGGGAGACAGCCCAGTCCTTGCTTACAAACAGCCCCACAACCTGAAGCAAATACTCACCAGCAACCACACACCACACAAGAAAAACACTAACCCAAGAACCTATCCTTGCAACAAAGCCCGTTGCCAACTGTGTCCACATATCTATTCAGGGGATACCATCATAGGGCCTAATCACATCAGCCACACTATCAACGGCTCGTTCACCTGCATATCTACCAATGTGATATATGCCATCATGTGCCAGCAATGCCCCTCTGCCATGTACATTGGTCAAACTGAACAGTCTCTACGTAAAAGAATAAATGGACACAAATCAGACATCAAGTACTATAACATTCAAAAACCAGTCAGAGAACACTTCAATCTATTTGGTCCCTCGATTACAGACCTAAAAGTGGCAATTCTTCAACAAAAAAACTTCAAAAACAGACTCCAACAAGAGACTGCTGAATTGGAATTAATTTGCAAACTGGATACAATTAACTTAGGCTTGAATAAAGACTGGGAGTGGATGGGTCATTACACAAAGTGAAACTATTTCCCCCCATGTTTATTTTCCCCCACCCCATACTGTTCCTCAGACATTGTCAACTGCTGGAAATGGCCCACCTTGATTATCACTACAAAAAATTCCCCCACCCCACCCCCGCCGCTCTCCCGCTGGTAATAGCTCACCTTACCTGATCAGTCTCTTTACAGTGTGTATGGTAACACCAATTGTTTCATGTTCTCTAGGTCTATAAATCTCCCCACTGTATGTTCCATGAATGCATCCGATGAAGTGAGCTGTAGCTCACGAAAGCTTATGCTCAAATAAATTGGTTAGTCTCTAAGGTGCCACAAGTACTCCTTTTTTTTTTTTTTGTGAATACAGACTAACACGGCTGCTACTCTGAAAGCTTTTCTTCTGTTTATACTTTATTATCTTTGACAAACTCTATCTCATGTCCTTTTATAAGCTGAATTTAGTTAAGATATCTATTGTGCTCGGGAATATTTAAGGTAAAAATACATGTTAGCGCAGATGAAGAGCTATACACTTACTGACAGTACTCTTTACCCTCTCTTCACTCAAACCAATCAGTGGAAATTTTGCCTGATTGAGCATAGATAAGGAACACTGAATCCAGCCAAACATCTGCAAGCAAGACTGATGGCTTGCCCTAAACAAAGGGCACTCCGCCATCTAGTGGCAAAGATGTTTCAACATTACCAAACTTGCTTTAAAAAAATCAAATTGAAATGTTTGCACATATAACTCGTTATTGTGGTTCATTTTTCAAAGGTAATTATGGTGAAGCAGAAATATTATATTGGAGCTGGACACAGTATAAAAACCTAGTGAAATGGAATATAAATAGGTAGCCTTGCTGCAAGTACAAGGTGGAAACAGGAACCACACAGCAAGAAAACTGCTACTTGCATTGAATTGAGATGCACAGTCAATTTTTATCTATCAGCCCACATTAATTTTCTGTCCACGGTCATGACTCTTTTTGTAGTGTGGTGCCAGTCCTGTCCCAATGAGAGGATCATGCAGCACATCTTCAGCAAACCAAAGACTAGCCATTTTGTTTTTCATATAAACTTTCCCCTTCCACTATTTTGTTTAGAAGAAGCAGACCATATACCCAATGATAGCGGAATTTAATTTAGAAGCAAATAAGTAGAACTAAGGGAGAAACCATGGTATCTAAGAATGGTCAAATATGATCAAGGGATAATCAACAACAAACCACCTGGTCTAGGTTTTCAATACACTATGAACGGAAAGTGATCATTTCAAGGCAGAGGGCATGTTTGTTTGGCCAAGTTTGGGAGTGATTTTATTTTACGGGTTGGAGATTCTGTTACGTTCTGTTAAAGCCTGAACCTGTGAGAAGCCAAGTACCTCACTCACACTGACTTCAGTGGGAACTGAAGGTGATTAGGACCTTGCAGGATCAGGCCTTTGTTTTGTCATTTATCAGTTTTAATTGATGTAAGGCACTGAGAGGGCCTGATTCTCTGCTCCATTACACCAATTTTAAAGTGGTTCCGCTCCATTGAAAACACCAGGGTTGCACTGGCATAAAACCAATGGAGAGTCAGAGCCAGTTATTTTTTATGTAACACCCCCTTTTTTTATCTTAAGAAGATTCAAACTGCTCTTTTCACACAACTGTAGTTTGAAGAGAAAAAGGTGACTCAAAAAAACCCCATTATTTCCCTTCCTCCTCAACGCCTTTGGTCATTTCACATGGCCTCACCGACACTGAAATGCCATGCGTTCATGACACGGACACATGCAGTGGCAGGCAATGTGAAAAGCTGAGTGTTAAAGAAACATCCCTATGAAATTAAAACTTGTGTACAACAACTTCATGATCATAAATGAAGGGAACAAAAGAAACTCATTCTTACCTGCTCTCAATTGCTGCTTGAAACTCCTGCTGACTAATGACCTCTCTCTCCAACCTGTCAATTTTTCTGAGAAATACAGAAAAAGGGATCAGACACAATGATGTTCAGAAAACATATTATCCTGCATAGTGAAAACAAGTGAGCCCTAGATTAGTGAAAGGACACAACTATAAGATCATTTTGGCCCACATTTCATGACTCAGATAGACAGCCCAATACCATTCCAAGGTTTCTTCTATGTTACGTACCTTGTGCACACCCTGCCCCTTCTTCCACAAGTGTACAAGGCCCTGCCACAGGAGAAGTGGTCTGGCTGCACTGTGCACAAATGGGGTATGACTTGAGGAGTTCATCTTTCCAGGGGTTACTTTATGCACAGCTGCTACACAGAGAGCAGACAGTGGGTCAGCTGGCAAATGAAAAAAACCAGCAAATTTGCTGATTCTTGAATCCATTGGTCAGGGAGGGTGCAGGCACCAGGGAGACTACTCCCTATGTGAGGCTGTAAGGGAGAATTCCTACTTCCTTTACCTCAGCTATACATGAAAAGTGGTCACTGCCCTAAATCCTGTCTCCAGCAAAGTTGGACTAGTCTGACTATGCATTGGGGAATTCCTTGAGAGCTGAGGGGCAGTCAATTATTTTTTGTCAAGGTCCAAATTTCATGGTCAAGGTATAGTCAAGGGTCAGACTCCACAAAAAATAAAAAACAACAATAATGATAAGTAAATAAAAAGATTTTAGGGTTCAAAAACATCTGGCTGTCCAGGTTTGGCCCGCAGTCTGTCTATTGATTACCCCGGTGTATGGCATATCAGTCGGAAACCTTCAATGACTTGCATCTTAACAGAACGCGCTGACTGAACACACCAGTGAATCATTTAAAAGGCAAACTGGCAAGAGTTACAGGCTAAACAGTGATTTTAACGGTCTGTCTGTGACTAAAAACAAATCCATCAGCTCCCTCAAGGCAAGGCCTGTACCACAGAGAGTCCCAGTTTCTAGCTGAGCTCCTGCAGTAATAAACACAGGGCCTGGGATCTATTTGTAACTGTGGGCAAATCCCAAGTGACACCGCAGCCTCATGCAGCTAAGGAGAGAGTGGGCATAGGTGGTTTTCCAGCACCTTCCTTGACACTAGGTGCCACCAGCACAAGTTCTAGCAGCTTGAGGGAGTAATGAGCAAAGCTCTTCATAACACAGAGCACTCCAGCCACACACCGTACAGTGGGGGTGCCAGGAGTGGGTGATGCATAGCCAGCTTCCCCAGTTCTATACCACCCAGGGGTTCACCTCCATAAGGAGCATCCTCAACTGGCTATTTAAGCCACCTTTCTGTCATCTTTACCCTGCAGGAGCAGGCAAAGGTGACAAAGTGGGGCTGAGGATCTGGCACTTCAGTTTTGCCTGCTCTCATGGGGACTGAGGGCACCCTGCACTTTGCAGGGTTAGGCCCTATGGGGCAACTCTCACTACGAGGCAGAAAGGTCTACTAGGGGCCCGCAAATGCCTAAAAAATATATGTTTTAATGAAATAAACTAAGAGTGGTCATTTCTTTACAATCAGGCACACTTCTTTGAAAAGGAGGTCGGTGATGATGCCACTTTCTCAATAATATGGATGCTTTTAATGAGATCTTGATTAGCATCTGGAACCCTTGCTAAGGCTCCAGGCCTGCAAAGGGATCTTATCTGTACAGAACCCCACTGCAGATATCAACCTATGCAACATCAATAACCCTGCAGGGGGATCCACACAATTGCACCCCTGCATATTGCAGGATCAGGGCCTAAAACATTGTCTCCTGTAAAAACTCCTTCTCTTTCATTCTAAATTTGTATTTCCAGTGTTCATTGATTCTCTCTATTTTAGCACCTTCAACAGTTCTAGCTCACAATTGGTCATAAAAATAACAAGAAAAAATTTGATCAGACCCTTACTGGAATGTGGCCAAGAGTGAAAGGAAATCAGACTGAAACAAATTTGACAACTTGGCTTCAATTGCAGTCAGAGTGGAAGCTGGGCTGATGCTCCCTTCACGATGAAATCTACAAAGGATGCAATTTAAAAGCAAGGATTAATACAGAAATCACACATACCTTCTCTATTCTATTGATATTCTTGTGCTGCAGCTACAGCTAGTCAAGAGTTTTCTGACAAAATAGTGTTCCACCCAAAAATCCAGATTCAATGGAACTGAAATGCTCGCTGGCTAGCCAGCTCCTAGCTCTGGAAGGTGCCGAGAGAGAATAAACATGGAACAACACAGTGCCATAACTACAGTCACTTTCCAAAGTATAACCACGCTTTCAAAAATCATGTACTAGCCCCCACCTCTCCATACACATTATGGCTAGAAGGTTTGATCTGTGCTATTGTTCAGGAACTGGCTGTGGATATGAATCACTACAAACACACCTTTGGTGTGCTTTACAATAATTCCATTCTACAGCTTACAGACTACCATTACTAGGACACCATCAGCAACAGACCACCAATGGATGGTCTGTTGGAATGTTATTTCTAGATGTTGGTCTGAGAAGAAGAAGATGATAAGATACTCCTCTGTGCTCAGGCATTCCTGCACCCCCTGCAGGCTCTCTAAATCATGCTAACACAGAGCTTGTACTCAATGCTTTTTTTGCCTCTGTTTTCACTAACAAGGTCAGCTCCCAGACTGCTGCGCTGGGCATCACAAAATGGGGAAGAGATGGCCAGCCCTCTGTGGAGATAGAGGTGGTTAGGGACTATTTAGAAAAGCTGGACGTGCACAAGTCCATGGGGCCGGACGAGTTGCATCCGAGAGTGCTGAAGGAATTGGCGGCTGTGATTGCAGAGCCATTGGCCATTATCTTTGAAAACTCGTGGCGAACCGGGGAAGTCCCGGATGACTGGAAAAAGGCTAATGTAGTGCCAATCTTTAAAAAAGGGAAGAAGGAGGATCCTGGGAACTACAGGCCAGTCAGCCTCACCTCAGTCCCTGGAAAAATCATGGAGCAGGTCCTCAAAGAATCAATCCTGATGCACTTGCATGAGAGGAAAGCGATCAGGAACAGCCAGCATGGATTCACGAAGGGAAGGTCATGCCTGACTAATCTAATCGCCTTTTATGATGAGATTACTGGTTCTGTGGATGAAGGGAAAGCAGTGGATGTATTGTTTCTTGACTTTAGCAAAGCTTTTGACACGGTCTCCCACAGTATTCTTGTCAGCAAGTTAAGGAAGTATGGGCTGGATGAATGCACTATAAGGTGGGTAGAAAGCTGGCTAGATTGTCGGGCTCAACGGGTAGTGATCAATGGCTCCATGTCTAGTTGGCAGCCGGTATCAAGTGGAGTGCCCCAAGGGTCGGTCCTGGGGCCGGTTTTGTTCAATATCTTCATAAATGATCTGGAGGATGGTGTGGATTGCACTCTCAGCAAATTTGCGGATGATACTAAACTGGGAGGAGTGGTAGATACACTGGAGGGCAGGGATAGGATACAGAGGGACCTAGACAAATTGGAGGATTGGGCCAAAAGAAATCTGATGAGGTTCAATAAGGATAAGTGCAGGGTCCTGCACTTAGGACGGAAGAATCCCATGCACCGCTACAGACTAGGGACCGAATGGCTAGGCAGCAGTTCTGCGGAAAAGGACCTAGGGGTGACAGTGGACGAGAAGCTGGATATGAGTCAGCAGTGTGCCCTTGTTGCCAAGAAGGCCAATGGCATTTTGGGATGTATAAGTAGGGGCATAGCGAGCAGATCGAGGGACGTGATCGTTCCCCTCTATTCGACATTGGTGAGGCCTCATCTGGAGTACTGTGTCCAGTTTTGGGCCCCACACTTCAAGAAGGATGTGGATAAATTGGAGAGAGTCCAGCGAAGGGCAACAAAAATGATTAGGGGTCTGGAACACATGAGTTATGAGGAGAGGCTGAGGGAACTGGGATTGTTTAGTCTGCAGAAGAGAAGAATGAGGGGGGATTTGATAGCTGCTTTCAACTACCTGAGAGGTAGTTCCAGAGAGGATGGTTCTAGACTATTCTCAGTGGTGGAAGAGGACAGGACAAGGAGTAATGGTCTCAAGTTGCAGTGGGGGAGGTTCAGGTTGGATATTAGGAAAAACTTTTTCACTAGGAGGGTGGTGAAACACTGGAATGCGTTGCCTAGGGAGGTGGTGGAATCTCCTTCCTTAGACGTTTTTAAGGTCAGGCTTGACAAAGCCCTGGCTGGGATGATTTAGTTGGGGATTAGATCCTGCTTTGAGCAAGGGGTTGGACTAGATGGCCTCCTGAGGTCCCTTCCAACCCTGATATTCTATGATTCTATGATTCTTTTAGAGACACCAAAAGCCTCTGCGGCCTGGTCGGGATGACTGAGGAACAGAAAGCAAGACAACAATTACAAAAGTTATACACGACAATCATGTTTTAAGAGAAAAATATTAAGGCCAAATCCTGGCCTTACTATTATGATGTGCATTCTTAGGTAGGTTAGTGATGATGGCTAAGCAAAGAGCCCTGAAGTCATTATGCTAAAGCAGAGCAAAATAGGATTAGTACAATGGGCTTAAGCCAAACCCCACTGACATCAGAGAGAGTTTTTCCATTTATTTCCATGGGCTTTGGATCAACCCAGGGTGCTCAGCTATGTCCCCGACTGCTGTTCCAAACCAGAGTCACATGCACTTCTCTCAATGCCTGCTGACAGGGTGTGCACCTGTGCAAGGGCTCAGGCTCTGTGCAATGCTCCCATTCTAGTACACCACACCAGCTTAGGGCTATGGAGTGCCTCCAGATATGCCAGCCAACTCCTTCAACTGCTCATGGAAATACGAGGTGTCTTCTGTCCTGCTTCTGCACAGATGCACTAGAGAATAGGGTCACCTGTCCTCTTCCCCCAGCCAGTGCTCCAGCACAACAAGACACATCAGAATTTTGCTCTGAGCAACAGAACATGACAGTATCTTTCTAAGAATTTATACAAACTTCAGATGAATCTGATGCAAGGACCAAAGGCCCAAGTGTTCGTAACCAATGAGAACAGTAATAGTTCCACATGATGATGATAAAAATCCAGAATAAAATCTGAATTAACTTCCTGTGGGTCTCCAATACACCTGGTCTGATTTGTTTATATTTTAGCTTGTAACATCTCTGGGCCACAGGCTGTCTTGCACAGCATCAAGCATATTACTGGTGCTTAGCAAATAACAAAAAACAGTAACGACAGCGTTGGCCACATTATTTTGTTGTAAATACAAAATGGTATTAAAGACATTTTAAAAATATGAAGATTTGAAAAGGAAAATGGTATTGTCTATTTCTGAAAAATAAACTTCATTTCAATGGAGTAAGTATTTCATTAAATAGGATGGTGAAATAATTCATTTACTCATGGTCTGTTACTTTTCTGTTCACATTTTGTTCACGTTCAGCTGAATTTTGTGACAGTCTTTAAAGTTCTTCTGGTACTGAAACTCCCACAGCAGAGGGCAGGAGAACAGCACGCAGGAAGCATGGCTCAGACTGACAAGGGAGTCTCTCCCAAAGACTAAATGGAAGTTTTACTGTTTGTTACCATGGTTATTTCAGGTTACTTATCTTGTCATGGAGGCAGATTCAGTCAGCCCTATCTAGTAGTAGTTATCTCCAGCTTTCCAAATCATGCAAGCTGCGGAAGGTCATGGCTTATGGCTCTGTACCAAGCCACTTATTCAGGGGAAAAGTCATCCTGTTTCAGAAGGCCAATGTTAAAATAAACTTGTGCTTGCTGGAGAACTGCTCTGGGGAAAATGAGCCTAAGCAAATTTGTGCCTCTCCCACTGTGGTACAATATTCCCTAATGGTCCACATCCCAGTACCCCTATTCCAAATGGGAACCAGGCAGCACACGGACATTTCTATGGGCCCCAGTTCAGAAAAACCTCTACCCTCAGTGGTGCCCACGATGAGGGACGTGCATTGTCCTGGTTTAAGGGACGGTTTTCTTAAAAACACAAACCAACAAAAACCTTTGCATTGAGACCTTTCCCACTCACCAGAAGGGAGAGGTTCTCTTTTGGGGATGTGGAGGGAGAGGGGAGCCCTGCTGTAATTCCATCTGCCATTTTTCCAGGAGTGTTGTAGGGGGAAGAGGGTAAGGTGTAGGCTTGATGAGCCACTGGATGACAGAAACAATGCTGTCGGCCAGAAATGCAATATTTCAGCCTTTTAACTCTTCCCTGGTTGTCATTGTTAGTCAGGCAAGAAAGCCTCCACTTCACAAAGCACCCCATAAAAATTAGGCGCAGCCTCCACAGATGCAGAGCATAGGAGGCCTGTGGAAATCACAGAGGTGACTTTCAACTGGATACGGGCCGTTAGTTTGCATTATCACTTCTCTCTCTGATCAGAGTCATCGGGCTTAATTCTACCTTGTGAAAATGGGTGCAGCTCTACCAAAGCCATGTAATCAGAGAAAGCAATGATAAATAAGCGATGACTTCATACGAACTTATGCTTGGGATTAGAGAGAATTTTGTGTGTGATCCCTCTGTCACTACGATCCTGGAAGTTCCTTAGAAGATCCAAATAATTGATCCCAGTTTGGCTGTTTTCAAGGCCACATCTTGCCAGGAAAAGGTTAAAATGCTCCTTTTTGAGATGCATGTCAAATTTTTGTAGGATTGACAAGAAGGATTCTTTTCCCACCTTCCAAAAAACAAAACAAAAAAGAAAGAAGTAAATCAGATATCACTCTATTTAAATAAAACTTTAATATGAAGAACATCATTGATGAGCTTTCTCATTACTTATTCTGTTGCATGATCACTGCATTTATTCAGTGTTCAAGGGCCACATTCAGCCACCTTACTCGTAATGGGCAAAAATCCCAGCTCTACTGAAGTCAATGGCAACGTTCATATTGGCTTCCGTGGAGCCAGGGTTTCATCCAATGAACAGTACTTTACTCCATGAGCAGTGCCATTGATAGGAGTTCTCCCCTCCACTGTGGATCTTTTATCCTGCTGCGGATTCAGCCAAGGAAGAATTCCCCCTGAAGCAGGCTTAGCTTAAGGCCTATCTGCAAGCCCCACAATTGATGGCATGTCAGGAATGCATTGAGTAACCTTGTAAATAACTCTCTAGTATTATTTTATTATTTAATAAATCTTCATATAGTTTATTACAGGTCTGGCAACAAGCATTGTCTTTGGTGTGAGATCTAAGGGAAAATGACCTGGGGCAAGTGAGTGACTGGTCCTTTGTGATGAGGAATAACTTGAATATTGTTGTGATTCTTGGTCTTAAAGGCCATCTACCACAGAGATATGCTCCCATGCGTGGCAAGATAGGCCAGAATGTCCGAGGGTACTGTCTGGGACCCCGTTTAAGGCTCATAATGTGCCTGAAGAGTTTGCATTTGGTGCAGTTGATTGGTGAAATTGAAGTTCAGAATTCACAACCAATTTGGTGCCCTGGTTTTTAACAGTCTGCCCTGAGTTGATACTCATACTCTTGGGCCACCATTGGGAACTTAATAAAAAGTGTCAAGAAAGAAAGTATAATGAATAGAGATTGCAAACACTTCAGGTTTGTTTGTTTGTTCTTCTCCTTTATATTTTATCAGCCTTGCTAAACTGCTTGCCTTGGTCCTGCTTTTCTAAATGTTTGGAATAAACACTTGCTACTCAAATTGTTAGTGCCTGTTAATATAAATGGGACCATATTCTTATTAGAAGCATCACATCCACCATAGCTATGGATATAAACATTAATGGATACATTTGCCAGAAATTCGGCAACAAAAGTGGAGATTACTGCTATACTGGTAAACACAAAGGACCAAATAATGCTCTTCTCGCTTATCTAAGTAACCCTACTGAGTAATCCCAGCTGGCTGGTTAGTGTATTGGGGTTTGGATTCAACAGTCCTTGCTTCACATCTCATTACAGCCCACACAATACCTCCAGATCATTTGCTGTGGGTGCTTCCCCACTTAGAACCGATTCACAGATCAAAAAACATTCTACCTTGCCTGTTTTTTGTGGGTCATGTTTTTCAAATTCTTCTTTCATGTTTCTAAATCCTTCTCTGAATTTATCTTTCAGCCACCTTTCTATGTCAAGTGAAGCTCTGCGTTCCCACTCTGCTTCCGAGATTTCCCTGCTTTGCCCTTCAGTCGTGATATAGAAAGAAAAGTTTAAACATTATTTATTTAATATTAACAAAAAGAAGATGTTGAGAAAGATAATGGGACTCTAATGCACTGAAACTGTGAGGTATTGAAGGAGTCAAAGGATGGAAAGACAGCAGTAACTCTCCCTGACTTAGTTACGATAAGCCCTACTGATAAGCCTAAGTGGTGAAACAGCTATCTTTCTTCGATCAGTGATGCCTCCTGTTAATTAGGCCACAACTTTCAGGTGTTCCAGGTACTTTTTTTATCCAATTAAACTTAAAGACATCACTTCTCTGCACCTTGCACAACTCCTTTGATGCTTTCTTTGCAAAGTGTTTCTTGGGTGTAAATTTAACCATGATCAGATTTGCAAATGACACTAAATTTTGAGGGGTAACAAACACACAGGAGGACAGAACTAAAAATCTTTCCAACTCACTGCAAAGTGAGATGGAAAGATTAGAGCAGTGGGGGTTGCAGGGAACAAGCAGAGATCTACATCTACAGCAAAATAAGCAACAAAGATACAAGGTGAAGAGAAATAACGATGCAGCTGCACTGGTTGCATTTAAGTGAAGTTATCTTCATCTTGTCTCCAGTAGAGTGAATACGAGGAATCAGGACCGGACAGTTAGGAGGGGAGGTGTCCCATAAAAAGATCTCAAGAAGTGGTGTACAGAATAAAAAAGTTTGATGACACCTGTTCTACAGTGCAAGCCAGCATCAATGCAAGCTTCCCCACACTTCACCACCAATGTGCTTTAACCCTGACCTCGATGGACCACCCTGAGATGTGAGAGAGCAGTTCCTCCTCCACAGCCATTCAGTCTTTAGTCTCTGCTCATTGGGGAATTCAAGGCAGATCCTTCATACACCAAGCCACACATTTGTATGCATCTCTGAAACTGAAGGCAGAGAGCATTAGGCTCCCAATGTCTACCCCTAAGCTAGAAGGCTGGACCCTATGACAGAGACTTACACTACAGGTACTCTCACTGCAGGTCTGATTGCTGTATTTGTAATATATTTGCTAATGTACGTGTTACCTGATCAACTGTCAGACCTGTTCATGATGATATTGCCCTCTTGTAAGTGTTGTATAAAGAGAATAAAAGCCCTACAGATATTTGTAACAAACGTTTTTCTTTAACTCAAGTAGTAGATGCCTATGTTTTTGGAACCAAAAGTCCTGATGATTCTACCCCTGATGTTGCAGACAGGCAATTGAGCAGGTAACCATGGTGTCTGTGCATAGGTAACATCATATAGTGCAGGATATTTAAGTAAACATTGACACAAAGAAGAAAAACTCCTGGAACCTAGGAAAGGCAACCAGTATAATCAACTATAAGTATTCTAAAGACAATACTTGGAGGATCTAAATTGTTCAGTGCTTAGATGCTATTCTGATAAGTACTATAGAAAAACCTCAGAGAGAATGGTGGAGGATGGTGTTAGTAAACAACAAATACGGTGGAAGATTTGTGATGTGGATACTTAGTCCAATAAGAACTGAACTAAAACCACAAAATTCATTTCACAGAGGCTACCAGACAGCCAACAGACAGAGAGTAACTATTTTAAGACTTGACTACTTCTGAGCCAGTTGTCTAGAGGTGTATCCATAACCAATCCCACAAGTAATTCCCTTTCAATGACCGTTTTTTTCTGATTGCCATGAAGGTTACTGAAAGCTATGGATTCAATTACCAGATATATTGTTTGGTTTTTTTTTTACCAGAAATTTTAGCATTGTTTGAAGATCCATTTTGGAGCTTAGCTCCTAATTTTTTAAGTAGTATATCTCCTTTCAGAACTCCTGTTCCTTCTGTGTCATATCTGCAAAAAGCAAGAGGAGAAAGCTATTATCAGATTTCGCTCCTTTCTTAGAGAACAGTTCATGTTTCCTCGGCATTTGTCACCTTCCTGTGAACATCAAGCACTGACAAAATGTCAGCAGAGTTAACCCAGTGGACCAGGTTTTCCAACAAACAAACACTGAACAATAGAGAGACGACACTCCCAGCTGTCCCCATAATATTAGATAAAATAGAGGCAGTGGTACCTAGTGGTAAGCACATTAGCCTTCTATTGTAATAGATAAAAGAATAAAATCAATAGGCCGATTCCTGAGTCCTCAACTGCCCCCCATTCCTCTGCTTCCACTGAGAGCATGAAGCAACAGATGGGCTCTGCACCTCATGTTCAGGAGTCATGATCTGACCTAATACCATATACTTCCAATTATCTGAAACCCTGTTATCCAAACCTCTGCAGTATTACTCACTCCCATGACAGCAGGGCTGCGAAGGGACCCCGGTGTGGTCACAGGGCCAGTGACACCCGATCCTGGCAGGCACAATGTGCAGGGAAGGCTGCAGTCTGGCAAGGCAAAGCAGAGTCCTCGGAAGGGAGGGCAGCACAGGAAGCCGCTGTCATGGGAGTGAGTGAGCGGGTCCACGACTGCAGAGGGCTCCCTGCACTGCCCGTTCGATTATCCAAACTCCCAATTATCTGAATAAAATCTGTGTTCCCCAGGCTATTTGGATAATTGGGAGCATGCTGTTATAATAATACTTGCACTTATATAGCCCCTTCCATCCAAGGATCTCATAGCACTTTACAAACACTGATAATTCTATAAATCAGGTTTATAATGGAAACTACAGTATGAATGATCCTTCCTTGCAGCAGACCTGCTGTTATAACTATATTGAACTACTGAAAATTCATGTGACCAGTATTTCTATGGAAAGCAGCATCACACTGCTTTTGCACCAGTTAAGAAACATTGGTGTTTGCCTACTGGATGCACTAACTGGTTACCACATACTGGAGCAGACCCTGTTCTGCAGCTACTTTATGTGCGGAACTCCAAATGGCTTCACTGAGAGTTCTGTATGCAGAGCAGCTGCAGATTAGGGCCCATGAGTGGTCAGCGGAGTCCTCTACCCTGTGCCTGGACTAAGCATCTTCCCTGTTGCTAATATGATAGGAACTAGCTCAATGACAGTGAAAGTGGCAATTTGTATTTCTGACTCTGACCAGCTTCTCTCCATTTACCTTGTCCTCCCTTATCTGGCCCCACACCAGCATCATACACACATACCCTCACAAGTCCACCACCTAACACCAGAGTGGTGCTCTTTATTTTTTAAATGGGAATGAGAATGTTATCTAAAACTTGAATCTGATGTTACCTTCTCCAAAGCTTTTCAAACTCCTCATTTCCAATGTGAAAACCTAGTTTGTTAAGTATGTTCTTAAACTCAGGCATCAGAATCCTGATGTCATCACCCGGGTTCTTCTGGGGCATCAGATCAGCAATATCCAGGGACCTATTTCCAACAGAAGACAATATGATCCTTGATACATTTCACCCTTATGAAACTTACCCTAGGCCTGCAACACAGAAATTCCTCATTCTCTTACGAACACAGAATTATAACATTTTGATTTAAAAGAAAAAAAATTGATCCTGATATGTACTTGGGGGTTTCTCTTAGCAGTGGAAAAGAATCAAGAAGGTAGGTTTGGGTTGGGTTTCTTTTTAAATCCTCAGACAGTGAGTCTTGAGCCCTCTTTATATGGTCTACTTTGTAAAAGGATGCTTCCCCCTCCCTCCTGATCCCATTCTATAGATTTGGATGCTGCCAGGGTCAAGCCTGATAAATCCTGAACCTTTTACCAATGAGAGCATTTAACATTAGAAGAAACATATCAAGGGATGTGGTAAATTCTCCATCACTTGGAATCTTTAAATCAAGATCGGGTGACTTTCAAAAAGTTATACTCTAGTTCAGCCACAAATGGTTGGGATTGATGCAGGAATCACTAGGGGAAGTTTCTGGGATCAGGGTTACACAGGAGGTCAGACTAGATGATCACAATGGTCCCTTCTAGCCATAAAATCTATGATTGCTGCAGAAGCGCTTATACCTTTGTTTTGCTTTTTCTTTTAGTTGTGCATGCACCTGTGATGCAGTCATCATGACTCCGCCCCCCTGTCTGTGGCTGATGGGATCAAGCCAGGCTGGAGCCCCAGAAGTAGCAGGATCACGAATTGCTGCATATAACTCTTCAAACTTGATAATGGCTTTGTCCTGTAGCTTAAGCCTGTTACAATGCAGGGTTGTGAATGTTTGTTTTTAGTTTGCTTTCTCTCCAGTGACATAAAAGAGACAGATCACATACTAATGGAGGAGCAGACCAAACAAATCAAACTTCTTCCTTTCAACGCTTCTTTCTTCCACTACCTCAGCTCACATACAGAGGAGAAAGCCATTCAGTGGCAATGACATATATATTAATACTTGCATTAAATGCACTAAAATTAGTTGGTATTAACTCCATTAACATTCAACTAGTGACTGACTATGGCTGGGCTGCATGCACCACAACAGTGGAGCCCGGTGACGTCTCAAAGTTGGCTGGCAAAAGATCATATTGTATATGATTCAAAACAGCAGATGCAGAGCCTATCCAGCCTAGCTTGAGGAGTTCCCACTGCCCTATGATTAAATGCATCACCACTACCGCCAGAGTAAGATTTTATTCTTTGACAGTTTTCTTCAAGTTGCAGCTAAGCCCCAGGTTGCCAGGCAGCAAGCACATCCCAACTGCCACCCAGCAGCTGTAATCAGCTTGCCCTCCCCTGCACAAGTCACAGGAAGTCCCACCTCAAGGGGTTCAGCAGACACTAGCCTCATGGTGCCTGATTGGCTCCCTCCCTTACACAAACCCAGGAGGCATTCAAGGAAGTGTCCAGGCAATAATGTGGATCATTAGCTGCCATGTCCACACTGCATTCTCTGTTCCTTATCTCCTGGTATTGACCTTGACTTCGACCTCAACTACCATTCATACCCCAGAACACCCACACAGATTCTGATATTAGGTATTGACCTTTGGCCTAATCCTCATTCAGTCTCTGGCTCTGCCCATCAGCCTGATTATTGACCCTGATACTGACTCTGAATCCTGGTGGTTATTCCTGCCTAGTGAGCTCATGCACTAGTCTCATCTACCTTTGCACAGAATCCTGACACACACTTTCTTCTGTGCAGTTTGTAACAAGAATGATCATCTATAGTAGACGTAAAAGAACAGCCTTAAGACAAATGCTGTTAGACTACCATGATCTGATCCTTCATGAATAATAACTCCATATAGCTTTAAACTGGGGTGAGGAAAATTCAACTTGATGTGGCCCACCCAAGAAGAATTCTGAATGCTGCTGTTGCTACTACATCTACACTTACTTTTAAAGAGGAGATATTTACTAGGGACTAGGGGTCTGATCCAACAGCAATAAAAGACTCCAACTGCCTTCAGTGCGGGGGCCTCAAGCACTATGTTCTTCAGTGCCCTATTTTACAATATTCAGTTAAAAACTCCTGTAAGAAGGCATTTCAATCCAGTCTGCCACTGTACACTTTTAATATGGCTTTTTGATCAGTTAAACAAAAATAAGTTATCTAATTTGATTGTGCATGTCTTAATTTGCCTTTTCCCTGAAAAATATAGAGAAGTCATATTGCATTATACTGTGCTTAAATAATGCAAACTTAAATATTTTAAATGGAGCTACTCAAATAATGAAAACGTAATGTAATAATGTATTTGTGGATCATTTATACACTTGTTGATAGCGGGGGTGGAGGGAATGATCAATCAACCATTAACCCCCATTATTTGTTCAGTTCTAATTGCAAGTAAGCCTGAAATTACATCCACAGTGAAGCAGACATTACAGTGCTATGCGGTATGCACAGATGTGAATGGATGTAAGACAAGGGAATTCACACACAGTGCCTGCAATTGTTAATATAATACACAAATATTATTTCTCAGTAACTATGTAATGAACTTATTTCACTAGTGTAATGCAGGTTATTTGCCTGCATACAAAGCTATGACTCAGTGAAAGGATTATATTACTGTCATAAATCACTTCAGGGTCCCTAACCAATTTATGAATGGCGCAAAACAAAAGAATAAAATGAGATTCGAAAAGATAACTGTGATGAAGCTCACATAGCGAGGAATAATGTGAAGCAAAAATCATAGGCTGGGGAATTATGGGCCATGCAGTAAAAATATAGAGAAGGCTGTGAAGGTTATTGCGGGTAATACATTGAAGAGGAGCCAAAACTGTGATGAAGTCATTAAAAAGGAAACAATAGCAGGAATAATTCAAGCAAATTATTGAGGAAATTATTCCACTTTACTTCACGCTTATTAGGCTTCCAGCTGAATTACTGCTCTCAGTTTGGCATATCATTTTTTGTAAAGAAAAATCAATTGAGAAGAGTAAAGAAGATGTTTAGAAAATAAGATCCAGGAGAAAATATTAAGAAAACTGAAGGATAAATCCAACTCAGTTTTCTCACACCGTGAGGGTATTTTAGCTGCCAGAATATGAGAAGGGATGTTATGAAAGGGAGAGGGATCCGTTATTCTTATTACCAATGAAGATAAATCAAAAAGTAATGGTCAGAAGGGAAAAATATAAGTAACTTATTAACTTTACAGGCTGCACTTATACCAGTTTTGCCCCCGTGTTGTGCCACTGGTTTAAAAGGAGCTATTTACATGATTTACATCAGCGTAAGAGAGAGGACAGTAGCTCCACAACTCTTAGAACAGTTAGGTGATTGAACAAGATGCCAAGATTGCTTATAGAATCATCATCACTGGAAGTATTGAAAGCTCAACTTGACACCCATCCATCACAGGTAGCGTAGGAATAATAAAATCCAACTTTCACGGAGATGGACAGATGACCAACCCAAAGGATTGTCCCTTTCAACCCAAAGGATTGTATGAAGAATGAGTTGCTTTTTAAATACAAAACTGCACTCTCCCTCTTATAGTACAATATTTTTCAGACCATGTGATTTAGAAAAATGCATCTGTGCTTTATAGTCACATCATTATATTGTTTCCAGTTTGAAAATACTATGCTGGCAAGTGAATGATGAATTTCTTGAGTAAGGAAGAAAATTGAGAGAAGGGGGCTATTGCAGTAAAGCCAGGTCTGACATAGTCAAAATGGAAAATTTGCTCATATTTATATTATAGGTTATGAACAGTGGAAATCTTTTGCCACCTTCTTTAGCTTTTATCTGATCACATACCTTAGAAGAAGTTGCTGATACTGCTTGAAGCTGATACACCTTCCAAGAAATTTGGTCAGCATCATTAGTAACACATCTCTATGAATGAATAAAAGTAAGAAATATATTGATCCAGTAGACCTTCATACATTGATAAAAGCCAAAAGTGGGGGGTAGGGGGGGAGAGGGAATTGGGAGGAAATATAAAGTATTTCATGGTACTAAATATATGGAAAAAGACCACTGGCTTTGTTTCATACCTTTAGTGATACACATGCAAGTGTCAAAGTTAAGTAACAGATCCCGGACAATGCAATCTCCTGTGTGAGGCACATACCTATTGACCTGCCCCTTGCCCTCAGGGTCATTGTTTTTGAACAGTTGTCTCATAGTAAAATAGCCTCCAGATCTCATTTTTTCATGCAAAATGTGCTCCAGCTTAAAAAAAAAAAAATTTGATACTCATTCAATAGCAAATATACAAAAAACACACACCTCTAATATGTACTTTTAACTCAATTTTTTTTCCTTAAAGCACAAGAAGAGGATGTCGACTGTCACTGACAAGATGATAAGAAATCAAAAATGAATAAATGTTCCACAATGAAATGATGTACCTTTAATAACCACCTGGAGGTGGGGGGAGGTGGGGGAGAGTACTTTCGGTAGAGTCTTGAGCAAGAAAAGAAAAATTTACATTTTTTTCTACTCACCTTGTAATATAGGCTTTCATGTACTGTTGCGCGGCTGAATTGAGTGAACCTTATTGGCATTGCCAAAATAAATATGATCTTTGCTTTCTGTGTTATCATTAAGCCACGTGTTGCCAGGTTACATTCTGAGAAAACTACGAGCCCAGTCCTGAAACCTTTACTCAGTCTGTATTCAGAAAAAGTTTCCATTGTCTTCAATGGGAGTTTCCCCCCACAAACAACAACATCATGAGGATGCCATTCAACATAGGTAAATTTGTTCTGAAATAATGGTGAAGGAGTGTGTACAATGTTTTAGAATTCAATTAATACTTATGGAGGATATTACTAGGTAACTGAATTATACAAACTTATGCTGACAGTTATTTTCTGTTTGACAGAGAGCTTCTAAAAATCATATATTTTTAAAGGACTGGGGCTAGAATTTCCTGTGGAAAATATTAAAATTGAACACTGTAATATAAGTTAAGTTAGGTTATAACTATATGTCCTATCACCATGCTTGGCTTTCAGGGCAAAAGGAGGAGATGTATGTGTACCACCTTCAAGCCAATTCACAGGGCTTGCTGACAGATGCCATATTGGTACCAAGAAAGGTTTCAGAGTCAAATTTTATTCTTCCCATTTATTTACATGGACTGTATTTGATTAAAATCATACCTCATCAGCTTCAATACTGAGCTGTCCCCCAGGCTGAGACAGTAAACTGGTCCTGCTGCTAGCAAAACTTGCTCTGCTTACTGCTGAGTTTCCAATGTCAGCTTGTTGGCCTGGGTCATTAAAAAAAATCAACTTTCAGAAACTATGAACAATGTATACCGGTAAAGATAGCTGGTAGACAGGGCACAGAATTCAGTCACAGAGGAACCACCAGATCATCTAGTCTGACCTCCTGTATATCACAAGCCACCAATAGCACCAAGCACTCGCACATTAAACCCAACAACTGAAATTAGACCAAAGTATTACATCCCTCAGGAGACCTCATTTGCCACAGGGAGAGAACAGGAAGGACCAAAGTGCAATGACAGGGAAATGATTCAGTGAAATATACCCAGATAATCCTGGCAAGTGACTTGCAGCCACATGCCGCAGAGGAAGGCGCAATCCCCCCTAGGTCACTACCAATCTGACCTGTGGGAAAATTCTTTCCCAACCCCATATACTGCAATCAATTAGACTCTGAGCATGTAATTGAGAACCATCCAGCCAAGCATCTGAGAGAGAGAATGCTCAGTGCCACCTCAGAGCCCTAGTCCTCCATGTCCAATGTCAGTTCTCCAGCTGTAGTAATCTCTGATGCTTCACTGGAAGGAGATAAAAAACCCTCCCATAATACATTGGAGCAGGATGGGGAATATCTCCCTAACCCCTGAAGCATGAGCTTTAGGAACATAAGAAACAAACTGGAAGTGAGCCCCAGGGCAGTTGAGCCCTGCCCCCTACCATCACAAGCAACCCTGTCAGACAACTGCATTCATAAATTTGTCCAGCTCTCTCATAAAACTAATTAACTTGTTTTCCCCCACAGCTCCTATTGGGAGGCTGTTTCAGAACCTCACCCTTCTGCTGGTTAGAAACAGTCTTCTAGTTTCCAGACTGAATTTGTCCATGGCCAGTTTATACCTATTTGCTGTTGTGCCAACACTGTCCTTTAGCTTAAATAGCTTTTCATCCTCCCTAGTATTTAACCCCCGATGTACAAAAATTGCTTGTTTGTAGGAGTTTACCAGCAATCTGATCTTTTGCTGATCTTTAGCTTAAATAGCTTTTCATCCTCCCTAGTATTTAACCCCCTGAGCAATTATATCCCATCTTCACTTTCTTTTTGCTAGACTAATCAAGTCAAACTCTTCCAGTCACCTGTCATAAGATAGGCCTTCCATTCTCCTAATCATCCTAGTAGCTGTTCTCTACACCTGCTCCAGTTTAAATTCATCTTTCTTGAACAGGGTAACCATAACAGTACACAGTACTCCAGACGAAGTCTTACAATAACATTAATGCTTCTCTACCTCTACAGGAAAGGGCAATCAGGAGACCTGGGGTCTAGTCCCAACTCTGCTACTGGTTTACTGAGTGACCTTAGGCAAGTCACTTATTCTCTTTGTTTTATATTTCCTAAGCATATTCTACAGATAATGGGTTACATTTTGTATTACAGGTATGTCAATAAACAGAATTATAGATAAAAATGGAGGGCTCTAAAGGACCTGAAGAGGTTATCTAGTCTATCTCCCCATGCTGAGGCAGGACCAAGTAAACCTAGACCATCCCTCACAGGTGTTTGTCCAACCTGTTCTTAAAAACCTCCAGTGATACAGATTCCACAACCTCCCTCGGTAACCTATTCCAGAGCTTAACTAACTAGAAAGCTTTTCTTAATATCTAATCTAAATCTCTCTTGCTGCACTTTAAGTCCATTACTTCTTGTCCTATCCTTCATATCATGGAGAACAATTGATCACCCTCCTCTTCGTAACAGCCCTTAACATGTTTGAAGACTATTCTCAGGTCCCCCCTCAGTCTTCTTTCCTCAAGACTAACCATGCCCAGTTTTTTTAAACCATTCTTCATAGATCAGGTTTTCTAAAGTTTTTATCATTTTTGTTGTTGTTTTCTGGACTCTCTCTAATCTGTCCACATCTTTTTTAAAGTGTGGTGCCCAGAACTGGTCACAGTTCCACAATGGGACAATTAGCTGCTGTGTCTTATGTATGACACTCCTGTTAATACATCCCAGAATGATTAGCCTTCCCCCCAGTTGCTCCACACTGTTGGCTCATGTTCAGTTTGTGATCCACTATAACCCACAGATCCTTTTCAGCTGTACTACCATCTAGCCAGTTATTCCCCATTTTCATGGGTGGTGGGTGAAGCTTCCCCTGGGGGAAGTTAGCTCCCTGTCCTGCCTCTTCTGCCCTGCCCAGACTCCACCCCCGCCCTGCATCCCTCCTCCCCCTCTCCCACATGCTGCAAAACCCCCCTGCCGGCCGTTCACCACATCCCTCCTCACTCCTCCACCACAGCCACCCACACACCCACCACTAGACCCCCACGCGCCTGCTGCTCACCTCCTCACCCCTGCGCCTGCCTGCCACTTGCCTTCTCACCCTCCTAGACCTCCCCCAGCTGCAGTGAGACCCTTACCCACATGCCACTCACCTCCTCACCCCCCTGCCCACCCACCACTCACCTTCTCACCACCTACCCCACAAGACCTTCTCCACCTCCAGCAGGAGCCCTGCTAGCCCGCTGCTCGCCTCCTCACTGCCCCCTCCCTGCTCGCAGCAAGACCCCTGCTGCTCACCTCCTCACTCCCCTACCCGCAGCTGGCATGCTGTGTCCATCCTTGTTCCCCCGTTGGCTTGCCGCATCCCTCTTCACTTCCCCGCCTCCACAGGGAAGTGGAGTGAGGAGGGACACTGAGAGCAGCTGGGACCTCCGAAGCAGGGGTAGAGTGGAGGAGAGGAGGAAGACTTACCATTCAGGCAGCAGCACAGTCGGTGCGGACCTTGGGGAAAGGGTGGAGCAGGGAAGGGAAGGGGCAGGGCCTAAGTGTAGTACTTTGCACTTGCCTTTATTGAATTTCATCTTGATGTTTTCTGACCAATACTTTAATTTATCAAGGTCATTTTGAATTCTAATCCTGTCCTCCAAAGTGCTTGCCACCCCTCCCACTTTGGTGGACACAAATTTTATAAGATTACTCTCCTCTCCATTATCCAAGTGAATAATGAAAATATTGAATAGTACCAGACCGAAGACAGATCCCTGCAGGACCCCACTAGATACATCTTCCCAGTTTGACAGTAAATCATTGAGAACTATTCTTTGAATATGTTTTTTTCAAACAGCTGTGCATCCACCTTACAGTAATTGCATCTAGACCACATTTCCCTAGTTTGCTTATGAGAATGTCATGTGGGACTGTGCCAAAAGCCTTACTAAAATCAAGTTATATTATGTTTATTGCTTTCCCCCCATCCACTAGGCCAGTAATCCTGTCAAAAAAAAGAAAATTAGGTTGGTTTGGCATAATTTGTTCTTGACAAAGCCATTTTGATTATTATTTATCAACCTGTTAGCCTCTACATGCTTATAAATTGATTGTTTGATAATTTGTTCCAGTACCTTTCCAGCTATCAAAGTTAGGCTGACATATCTATAATTCCCTGGGTCCTCCTTTCCCCTTTTTAAAGATAGGTACTATGTTTGCCCATTGCTAATCCTGTGAGTCCTCACCCATCCTCCATGAGTTCTCAAAGATAATTGCAAACAGTTACAGAACGATGTGAAGGAATCTTGGAAGTACTCTAGGATGAATTTCATCAGGCCCTGCAAATTTGAATAAATCTAATTTATCCAAATATTCTGTAACCCACTCTTTCCCTGTTCTGGCTTGTGATCCTTCCCCTTTGTTGTTAATATTCAACATTAACTTTTTTAATGAAGAAGACTAAAGTAAAATAGGCTTCAAAGTCCTCTGTCTTCTTGGTGTCATCCGTTATTACCTTCCTTCATCTTTCTCTTGCTCCTAAAGCATTTAAAAAAAACCTTTTCTTATTGCCTTTTACGTTACTTGATAGGTGTACCTCATTTTGTGTCTTAGCTTTTCTGATTTTTCCCTACAAGCTTATGCTATACTTTCTTACTCATTATTAGCAATTTGTCCATGTTTCCACTTTTTGTAGGATTCCTTTTTGATTTTCAAGTCATTAAAGAGCTCCTGATGGAGCCATATTTAGCCAGCTGTCCTGAACTCCTTTTTCCCTTAGATTTTCTTCCCATGGGACCTCACCTAACAGAATCAGAGAATTTGTGAAGTCTGCTGTTTTGAAGTCCATTGTTCTTATTCTGCTGGGCTCACTCCTTCCTTTCCTTAGAATCATGAAATCCATCATTTCATAATCACTTTCACTCAAGTTACCTTCAGTCTCTATATTTGCAAACAATTCCTCACTGTTAGTCATAATCAAGTCCCAAATGGCTGACCCTTGGTTACTTCCTCCATCTTCTAAAACAAGAAGTTGTTCCCAATACATTCCAAGAACCAACTGGAGATTTTTTGTTTTGACATATTACTTTTCCAACAGATATCTGGGTAGTTGCTAAAATTCCCCATTACTTTCAGGTTTTGGATTTTTCTGTTATTTGTTCTAGAAATATCCCCTCCACCTTCCCCTTGGATTTGGTGGTCTGTTGCAGACACCTACCCTATTTTTTTCCCCTTTTACCTTCACCCAGACACTTTCATCTGGTCTGCCCCTCACCTCCTTTTCACAGATTTATAGACTCCGTGGCCAGAAGGGACCATCATGATCATCTAGTCTGACCTTCTGCACATCCTTCTGGATCACAGAACAAGTGAATACATTTTTCATGTACAACGTTACTCCTCCTCCCTTTTCTCACTGCCTGTCCTTCCTGAACAAGCTATACCCCTCTATATCAATATTCCAGCCAAGAGATTTAGTCAACCAATACTCTTTGATGTCAACTGCATCATAATGTTGCTTGTGCATTAAGACTTCCAGTTCTTCTTGTTTATTCCCCCACATTCCTTGCATTTGTGTACAGAGAACTAAGGTGCTGAACAGATTCCCCAACTCATTTCCATCCTGTTGCTTCTATGGCCCTAGCTTATAAACAGTCTATAAAGAGTTAATAAATTATTAACAGATGTTTTAACAAAGGGTAAATCAATGGTGATAGATTGTTATGGAACCTAACAGGTCAATAGGTTGCTTGTATCCATCTATAATGGCTT